GTATATTCCCCATTCCATGTTGGCTTTCTATCAATCGATTTTTATAAAGAGCCGTTTCATCTTCCTCTGAGTAAAACATTGAAAAGGTTAAATATTACATTTGTCTCTGAGTCCACTTTGGATGTAATCAACTGATAAGTCGAATTGAGCCCCCGCGTATACAGCCTCTGCCAGGGAAGTCCTACTCACTACCTTCTCGTGACGGGGGTGTTGTTTACGAAAATGAGAGGACGAAAAGCCAATATCTGGCGCTTTAACCGAATCCCAAACCAATAGTGCACATGGGCTCCAGTATCCTGAAGGAACAAATGGCGTATGAACGAATCGTTGGTCACCAGCTACTATGGGACTATGTCTCCTCACGATGCTCCACTGCCTTGGGGATCAGACCTTTAGATCAAAGGCTCGGGTTGTGACCCCCTAAGAAAACCACCTGCTCCGGTCTGGGCACCCGAGCAGTATCACAGCCTACACACAAATATTATGAAAATGATTATATTTACTGAAAATTCTATTCTCGCTTCGGTTTACAGTCAAATAATTCACATTATTATTATTATTATTATTATTATTATTATTATTATTATTATTATTATTATTATTATTATTATTATTATTATTATTATTTTCCACATTATTCACCCTCTTTTATACTTATACAGCGGCTCGTCTTTGTTGGAAATCCGACTGTATCTAAACGTTCTCGAGTCACTGTCCGGTTGAAAATTGTATGTTACCATCGAATATGAGTACTGAAGCAGTTTTTCTGAAACCACGTGCGCCATTCAAACTGGCTGCCTTCAACGTTCGCACACTTATGCAGGTTGGTCAACAGATAGGGCTGGCTAGGTCTTTGGAAAGTCTTCATATCGATGTCTGCTGTCTATCCGAGACCCGTATTCAAGACTCTGGTGATGTACTACAAATCCGCTCTACATTTGTCACTTCAAAAAGCTTGTTTTACGTGCGCTTATCCGGCGACCCTGTGGCATCTTCGTCTGGTCTTGCTGGCGTTGGTGTCGCACTAAGCACTAGAGCTGAGGCAGCACTAGTCGATTGGATCCCCATTAACAGTCGGTTATGTGCTGTTAGATTAGAAAGTTCTATCAAATTGAGAAGAAATCGGCGTGAAAAACGATGTATTTTCGTCATCTCCGCCTGTGCCCCTGCAGATTGCAGCCCGGATGCAATCAAGGATGAATTCTACCACCAGTTAACTGTTCTTCTCCAGAAAGTGCGTTCGACAGATATTGTAGTACTAGCCGGAGACTTGAATGCTCAGGTCGGGCGTCTAGGCACAGAAGAGAGTCGTTTAGGTGGTCGATGGGGACTCGTTGGTCGCAGGTCAGATAACGGGGACCGTCTACTGCAACTGTGCACAGACCACAACCTGTTTCTGGCTAGCACTAACTTTCGGCACAGTCATCGCCGATGTGCCACCTGGCGTCCTCCCTCTGCATCCCAAGCCTGGACTCAGATTGATCACATCGCGATCAGCTACCGCTGGCGTGGTTGTGTACAAGACTGCCGCTCCTTTTGCAGTACCTATCTGGACTCTGACAATGCCTTGGTCTGAGCCAATCTTACCTTACTTTTCAGTGGCCAACGAAGTGACCACCACCAAAAGATTGATGTTAGCAAGCTGGTTGCAACTTTTGTTGCAAGTAAGTATCGAACCGAGCTAGCCTCAAGGCTAGCTACCACTCCACCGAAAAGTATAGATGAGCATTAGTTGCAATTGCATGACGCCATGAAAATGGCGGGAACAGTCAATTGTGGGTTTGCGAAACGTCCCGCTTTTAAGCACTGGGTTTCTTCTGGTTCCTTACAACTCATTGAAGCCCGTCGTTCTACTCCGGGTGACCGTGAGTTTGACCACAAACGAAGGTTGTTACGTAGTGAAATTGGGCAAAGCTTGCGTAAGGATCGAGAAGCCTGGTGGTCGGAGCGTGCTAATGAGATGGAAGCAGCAGCTGCATCTGGTAACTACCGGAAGCTCTTCCAACTCATCCGAGCCACTGGCAGCAAGAAGTCTGGTGTGAGTGAAACAATCTGCGAGGATGATGGGATGCCAATCACTAACATCCATCGACGTCTTGGACGATGGGCAGAATTTTTCGAAGGGCAGTTCAACTGGCCTGCTGCTCCGGCAACATCGGTCAGACTGTCCTGCCCTCCATGGCCGGTGACGACTGATCCACCAAATGAGGCGGAAGTCCACAAGGAACTCCAACTCTTGAAGCGTTACAAATCACCAGGCCCAGATGACTTACTTCCGGCTCTTTTTAAAGATGGTGGTGACTTTCTGACTAAGGAATTGACGACGTTGTTTACAAAGGTTTGAGAACTAGAGAGTGTACCAACGTCATGGAATGAGTCGATAGTTGTCCCTATCTTTAAAAAGGGTTCACGTCGTTCCTGTAACAACTATCGGGGGATAAGTCTACTTACGATTGCGTCCAAGCTATTGGCTTCCGTCATTCTTCGTAGGTTGTTCAAAACCCGAGAAAGATTGACTCGCGAGGAGCAGGCTGGGTTTCGTTCTGGTCGAGGATGTATTGATCATATATTCACCCTCCGTCAAATGTTAGAACACCGCCATACTTATCAAAGGCCGACAATCGTAGCGTTTCTTGACATCAGGGCTGCCTTCGATTCGTTGGACAGGACTGTTCTCTGGGATTGTCTATTGAAGAAGGGTGTGCCTGAGAAGTTTATTAACATCCTAAAGGCCCTATATAAAAACATCCCAGGCAGAGTGAGGGCATACAACCACCTCTCTCCATTGTTCCATTCGGGCAGTGGGGTTAGACATGATTGTCCAATCTCACCATTCCTCTTCAACTTTGCCATCGACGACATTCTGGAAACAGCTCTGATGGATGTAAGTAATGACGGTGTACATCTGTTGCCTAGAGAAAGACCTATCGACCTTGAGTATGTGGATGATATTGTCTTACTGTGCGATAATGCCCAAAGTATGCAATCCACACTTAATCGGTTGGCAATCAGTGTCCGTAAGTATGGGTATGTGCTTTGCACCTTCGAAGTGCAAAATACTTCTACAAGACTGGCAGGATTCCAATCCTGTACTCACCCTGGATGGTGAGCAGATAGAAGTATTCGAGAAGTTCGTGTATCTGGGTAGCTGTATGAGTGCCGGTGGTGGCGTGAGTGATGAGATCAATGCACGAATAGTGAAAGCCAGATCGGCTTATGCCAATCTAGGCCATCTTTGGCGCCTTCGTGATGTTAGTCTGGCTGTAAAAGGTCGGATCTACAACGCGTCGGTGAGAGCAGTTCTGCTCTATGCTTGCGAAACCTGGACTCTCCAAATTGAGGATGTCAGACGACTCTCTGTGTTCGATCATCGTTGTCTCCGAAGGATTGCTAACATTCAGTGGCAACACTATGTTAGTAATGCAGAGGTTCGGCATCGTGTGTTCGGGCACAGAGATGATAATGCAATCGGTGTCACCATCTTGAAACACCGACTTCGGTGGCTTGGACATGTTCTACGAACGTCGTCCCAGAGGATTCCACGTCGCACATTATTTGCCGACTCTGGGACTGGTTGGAAGAAGCGGAGAGGTGGTCAGTGCATGACATGGTGTCGTGGAATGAAAGAAAGCTGCAAAGGACTGGCTTGTGTTGGTCCTTCACGACCCCCTGGTTGGGGTCCTAGAGATGGTGCAACACAGTGGCTAGAGACGTTATCAGATATGGCTCAAAATAGAAGCCAGCAGCCATCCTGCTGTAACCTTCCTTTACTTTCTTCATTAAAAAATGGTTGTTTCTTCCTTAACTGAAAGATTTCTCCCGATTGTACCTTTCCGTTTCCCCTATTATTATTATTATTATTATTATTATTATTATTATTGTTATTATTATTATTATTATTATTATTATTACACTACCTTACACTAATCTGTTCGTTATTGTTTCTTTTTCTCTTCGAATTCTCATTGTCTTGTGTGGCGCATATATATTTGGTGCCCTCTCGCACCAATATTTATGTGTTCAAATAAAATAAAACGATAAGTCATATTGAAGTCGTATATTGTTTTATTCAGATCATTAGTTTCATTACAGATAACGGTAGTATTATTCTGAAATCACTTGTAGAAATGAGAACTGTTAGCCATGAGACCTAGTAGGAACCACATTAGTAAAAATTTCAGCTTATCTATAGAAATCATCGCTTAAAATGAACTGAATATTGAAGATGTAGCGTGGAAGTAATTCTTTGAGATAATGTATTGAAATATCAGTATCGATGTTGTTATTTTCAACATAATGTATTAGTGGCAACAATTATCAACGTCCAACTTGACTTGTTCTAAATTCTTCTCAGAAACTGCGATTATATTGGATGCTTGTTTGATAATCCATTCGATTTGTATTTTTGTTTAAATTTCATCAATACTTATGGAGATTATTGACTTTTATTGAAATTACGAACTGATAGTTGAATAATATCATGGACTGATCGAAGTTAGACCTGTGTAACGCTGGATCACGGCTGAGTGGTCTAAACGTCGGGGATTCGAGAGCGAAACCCACGGTCCTGGGTTCGATTCCGGGGGCATAGAAGCATACTACTGAAAAGTCCCATATTAAGTTAACTTTCGTCAAATATTTTACATTAAATAAATTAAAATGAATTCATTCTTCAAACATTCCCCACATTTATAACACGTAAACCAAAATGATATGTAAAGAAAGAGATATATTGTCATTGGTGCATTGTAGTCACAAATCCATCTGGATAACACAGAGCTATAGAGTGAAGATTACGGTACAGTAATAGAAGGTCGATCTAATTCCCTTATTGACATTATGATTGGTCAATGGGGTCAGAAGGAATAAGTGGACCAATAAGATTTAACATTTCAGGTCGTTAATAACGGTCAAAAACGCGATTGGTTAAAAGGATAGTCATCGGTCTGATCAAGAGAAACCAAAAAAGTCAAATCGACTAGAAAATTTAGTGCGTCAAAACTGTAGACAATGAACAAAGTAAAATATTTATAACATCAACTGTTTATATTTCATTAAATATACATACAAACATATTTGTGGATATTATAAATCAAAATCACAATCATGCTTCATCGACCTACTCTCATGCCTGCATCAATGAAATCATCCTCAAAATTCAAATTATCTACTAATTCAAAACATTCATCTCAATCAAGTAAAATAGAAAGTCGTCATGATTATAACGGTGGTGAGACAGTTCTTGTACGACGTACAAATCCAGATGAAGACCGTATGAAACAGGAAGATACAACATTTGATGATGTATTAAACAAAGAACAAGAAGATTATGCGGAGGAAGATTACAATGGGAATGATGGAGATATGAATTCAGATGACTCTCATATGAAAGGTGAATCTCACATCCCAGTGTCAAATATTAAAGTGGATGAAGCCACTGGAAATGCAACTCCAGTGACCGTAACCACAGATTCGGTTAAACCTATTGGAATTTTACCTCTGAATGATGTGATTCACAATTTACTCACATGTACACCACATGTTGCTCCCACCATACAAAATGTTGCACTTCAACCTATACTGTCGGGTAAAATGAACGGATCGGGAAGTGTGCAAATGCCGAATGTTGTTTCCAATGCATTGCCTACATTGTGGCTTCATTCTCCTGTTGTGAATTCAACGGAAATGATGAGTATGCCTAATGTGAATAGTGTGACAGATTTGGCGAGTAATATTGTACAGAATAGTGGGACTGCACTGAATCCACTTGTTGCTGCTGTGCTTGTGAATTGTGCCACAGTGAACATGATAAGTCAGCTAGCTGGATCTATGTGTACTCCGCTGGTGAACAGCAGTATGATCGATGGTAATGTTAATGGTAGTAATGTGAACAACAATAGTGAGTACACTAGTAGTGCTTGTAGTGTTAGTGTTGGTAGCAGTGGAGTCAACACAGTAACAATCCCTACAGCGTCATTACTTCCCAATTTGTTATCTGCCATTCCGTTGTCTACGTATATATCGGGATTAGGACTGAATACAACTGGAGGTATAATTACTTCACCAAATAGTTTGTGTAATGTTGGTGTTACTAGTACAGCTGTCTCGTCTGCTGCAACCCTTAATAATAATAATATTGGTGGTATGATTGTGACACCATCGAATGTTGAGAATATTATGGTTTCACTGTCATCTGGTAGAAGTCAAGCTGAAAAGTGTGATGTGATGTATAATACTGAAAGATGCGTTGTAAATAATTCATCTAATGAAATTATTAAAAATATTGAGAATAATAATGATGATAATAATGCAGCAACTGTAAAATCCGAATCATTTCAGTCATATATGATAATTCCTGATTCCAGAACAATGTTTAGCACTAAGCCTACAAGAGAATTGAGAAAGTATCATTGTACATATCCAGGATGTGACAAATCGTATGCTAGACGATGTCAGTTGAATCAACATATATCAACGCATATGATTACTGATCCGATATCATGTGATGCACCGAATTGCAATGTGAAATACTTCTCAGAGGAGGATTTAAAAAGACATAAATTATCTCAACATTCATCGGCCGATCAGGATTCGAGTCGTCATTATGCTTGTACAACTCCTGGATGCAGTAAATCGTATTCCGAGTTGAATAAAATCACGAAACATCCCGAAATAACTACTATTTCACCAAATGTGCAACCTAAATTAACAGAACCATTGGAAACGAGGAATGCAAAATCGATAGCACCGAATGTTCAGAAAATTCTCCCACCCATTGCACCAAAATCAACCATATCTCTCCCCAAAAATTTGATTTTTCTAAATGTTTGTACATATCCTGGATGTGGTAAATCTTACTCATCATTCAACAAACTCAAGTTACATTTAAGATCACATAAGTGTGAAAGGCAATACGTTTGTAGAAAACCTGGTTGTAGTGCTACATTTACTGAATTGTCTGGAATCCGATCTCACGAACTGTCACACATATTCGTCCATAAAAGTACCGGACGACTGGATAAATATCCTATCACTATGGTTAGTAATACATTCCGAACAAGTTTTAACACTTTTGAACCAATATTGAATAATCAGGGTAGCTCTGAAATAACTAATATTTCACCACATGTGTTACCTAAATCAACAGAATCAATTGAAATTACAAGTGAATTATCGATAACACCGAATATCTATAAGAATCGTACTCTCCCACTCGTTGCTCCGAAATCAAATGCCCCTGTTCTTAAACCGTCTATTCCCACAGTAAGTTGGGATTCCGGAATGAAGTTAACTCATGTTTGTCCATTTAAAGAATGCGGTAAAGCGTTCCTGAAACGAAATAAACTGCACGAGCATGTATGTCGACATACAGGTGTACGACCATTTGTGTGTGATCAATGTAAAGCATCGTTCGTTCAAAGGTATGAATTACGTCGTCACAGTATTATCCACCTTCGTGGTGCACAACCAAGGAGTTTATCACGTTTTCTCACAACTCCACAACAAACAAATGAAACACTCAAATCTATTGTCACAAACAGTCAAATTTCTGTCAGTACTGCTCCCAATACTGCTACTATTACTACTACTCACACCACTTATACTACTACTAATACTACTAACATTAATACTATTCCCATTGTTACTACGACAGTTTCTGCAAACGGTCTTATTTCAGATACTACAAATTCCACCATCTCTACTGTTCCTGTTTCGATCAGTATTCTTAAAGTTGAAGAAGAGTCAGAACTAATCAAAATGGAAGAATTTATTGAACAATCAACAAGTCTACAACCATGTGATACTGATGATCAGGTAACAGATTGTATTGATAAATAATGTCACTCACCTTGGATCATTTGATTTTGACGATTATTTAATATAAATGGAATGATCGATAACATTTTTGTACAAAACATTATCCACTATTAGTTGTCGCTGACGATGCAGTAATAATGATTGTAGTTGATTCATTAATTTGTACTGCTTTTTTTTCTACAAATGCCATTCATTCATTAACCAACCAACTATTTGTATGTTCACCAATTATCAGTATCATCATTTATAAGCATCAATGTCATGGTTCGACTTGATCATTTCAAACAATATGTGAAGTTTACTTATAGTGGGTTTGTATTGTTTGATTTAATTTGTAGATTTTGTTCGTCATAATAATTTGATTCACATTCTAAATATAATATAGCACCGAAATAAATGATTATACTGTTTGCTGAGATATAATACAACAATAGAACCTAGGCACGAGATAACACGATTAGAAGAGTGGATACGCGATCAATACACCATTCATTAGAATGGCGAACATGTTATACCAGATTGCAAGTCAATTGTTGGCTTGCTCAACATAATTGCTAACCATCGAACACAGAGTACATAGTAAGAATCAATAATTTAGAGTTCATGAATGAAGCAGTAAGCCGTCTGTATATATATATATATATATATATATATATATATATATATATATATATATATATATATATGACACGTCGAATGCAAACTGTAGTAGAATATGAACTAAGAAATTTCAATAGATTTTATCATACGCAAATTAACAACACATAGTTTTTACATATAGACAAGTGAGGTAATCAGACATCATCTAGTCAAACAGTAAGTTTCTCTTCACTCGGTATTGTTTGACTTGTATCTTCCCATTGAGGTTTAAGACTGCAATTGATCAGTCTGTTATTGACATATGTGCATACTATGCGTACTGCCTCAATTTATAAGCAAAGATGGATAGTGGCTAATAGTGGAATCCAAGAAGCGCGTTTTGTCTTATTTGGGACTCGTCAGTTAGACTAACCAATTACAGTCCTAAATATCAATGGGAAGATTCAAGTAAACAATACCAAGTGAATTTAAATTCACCCCATTGCACAAGCAAGTGGCTATCACAACTCAGTAGCTGAGTGGATAACGCGATGGTGTTTGAAGCGAATGGTATTGTGTTCGAGTCCCAGAGTGAACATCAACTCTGGGGTGCAGGTGCATTCAGCTGACGAGTCTCAAATAGGACGAAACGCGCGTCCTAGATTTCACTGCTAGCCACTATCCATCATTGCTTACAAAACGTAAGTTTCTCTATTGTTACATTCTTCTGTGTAGATCACACTAGTCGGTTTGTGAGTTACATATCAAATTTTATTCATAACAAATTGATCTAGGAAATTCTACCGAAGTCCAGAGGAATAACGAGTAAATCATTGTGCATTCTTTCATTCATAGCTTGAGGGTAACCGTAGATTATGTGATACTTTACTGTCCTGTCCATCTATCATCATTCTCCCCCCTCTCTCGTTTTCTATTGGAAGATATGTGTATGTGTGTGAGTGAGAGAAGCAGCTAATAATAACGCACAAACACGATAGAATGAAAGATCGATTTTATCTAGTTGTGGTAATCAAAGACCCAACAGGTCCGTTTAGAGGGAAGAGAAAGACAAATTTAGTTGGAAACATGAAGACGATAGACAGGAGAATTACATTATACTGACGTCTTTACGTGATTGCTAGGTTGCAAATCATAACTACATGTGCTAAAAACCAATGTTTGATTTATCTGAAGAAATGAATGGGGTTTCCACATTCATCATCTGTTCAACACGGAACTCCTCCAAAATGGAACAAAGTATTGAAGGTATCTGTTGCAAACTATCAATATGTGTCATTCAGTGAGAATGATATCAGCCTATCTTATGCAATTTACACTTGTATATGCCATATTATTTGACGAATGTTGATGTTGTATGAGTGGCGTCAGTGTGTTGTCATAACGACAAAACGTAAATTGTTCGCATTGAATGAATTGAATGAAAATGTATTGTGTAACAGATAACGTGTAAGTAGTGTGGCCTGTTTGATGAAAGTCACTCAGATTGTATGATGAAAGTGTGGGACGAAGTCATCGATAATTGGCTTTCCACAACCCCATGTGCCTCACTCTTATCTCCTTCAAGATAATGTTGATCTCTGATAAGACATTTGTCCCACCTCAGTTTCCGTTATTCTCAACACCACTGGTAACCGTCAGAAATCAGACTCGCTAACTGTATCATTGTTTCATGTGCTTTCGTAATCCTTGATGTTTTGCACGAATCGTGTGCGCAAACGATCTCCCCAAAGTCAGTTCATGGCGAATCGACAATCGGAGAACACAGACGACCGTACACGTTCAGTGTTTTCATCAATAGCTAATGTCTATGGTTGTCCTGATGTTGTATCAATCATACTTGTAGTTTTCTGACTCCTCACTGAAAAGTTTTCCATTCACTGGAATTTTCTTGTGTCTTCTGAGCCGTCGACTCACATTTCTTCTCTCATTCTTTTCTCTTCCAGAGTTCCACCCACACGTTACTCTACACACTCCTTCAGTCTAAACATGAGAAGTCACAATCTTCCTAAATAATCGTCGACATCTGATGGATTTCGTTAGAGTTCTTTCGAAGCTCCACTGAAATGTATGATGGTTGATCCAGTGTAATTAATTATGAAACAAATCATGTACATTAAACAATTTGAAGTAAAAAGAAATATGGTATAATATAATGTTTGAATGATCAGTTTTCTTATTCGTGTTGTGTGTCTGAACTAAATGTTCTCTAATCTAGTGAAGTTTTTCATTTTACAGCCGAATGAAATTGTATCTCCATTGAAAATCACAGATAACTTTCAACTCTTAAATTATATTTCTTAACATTATACACCTACAACTAACTTGGATATTTGAAAGGTACATTAAATGGGTTCTGTTTGTAATGAGTACCACAGCCGAATTTAACTTATTTGCACAAAATAAATAAAATTTTTTAATAATTAATTGTTTATCTTTACAATTAGATGTTTTTGTTTTATATTCTAATGTTAGTTTGACGTTCATGTAAATAAGTAAAAAAAACTGTCATCACTTGAAAGACGTTCACATCCATAGTCCCAGGTATAGAATGAACACTAAATATTCAATTGTATAGTTGAATTCATGAGTCAGTTGAAGTTAGACCGCCATGGAAAACTTGGAAGCATTGGACGGCCATTTCATCGTAGTATGGGAGTTCACCCGGGTCTGTTGTGAGATAGTAATTCACTGAAGACAATGGTGAACGGTGGGGCAATTTCGTGGATTGGTTGAAGTTAGACATTAACACCGTTGGATGCCGGATGGATTAATGGTCTAGAGGTTAAGCGATCACCTGTGAACATAAGGACTGATAAGTTCTGGGTTCGAATCTCGCGAGGTGGAGTCATTGGATGCACACTGCTGAGGAGTCCCACAATAGGACGAAACGGCCATCCAGTGCTTCCAGGTTTCTCATGAATTCAACCATAAAATTACTAAAATCTCCACAAAACCCCTTCTGATGTTCAGTTGTACATTATTTTAAGCGAAAATCAATTATATCACTTGAACCGAATTAGTAATATTATGTCTATTATATGTCAGGTAATATTGGTTGATTTAGTTGGTTTATTTAAGATTTTGATTGAATGTAACTCAACTATAAATTATAAATTCGTGTACTTAGATTTACGATACAAATTTTGTGTATATGAAGACTATTATATTGCCCGAATCGAAGAGGGTTAGGAAGAATGTCCTAATGGCTGAAAGTCGTATTCTTTATTCAATTAACTATTCCTCCATATTGAAGAATTGATTAAGACAGAGTAGACAGAAGATAAAGAGTTTTATGTTTATTCACTTAATCGATGAGATAAAAAGTTTGCCTTAATACGGTTAATTCACTTTATGATCGTTGAAATTATGCTGAATTAATTCGTTAGGTCAATGTGATTTAATTTGTTAAACAGCCTGAATAAATCGCCTTAACTTTGGTGCATTAATTACCATCAAACGTAATTTTTTTTGAAAATATGATAATCTTCCGTCGTTTTTATAAAACATTAATGTGAAGTGACAATTTATTACTTGAAAATGATAGTAATTATGCTTAGTCTTTCTCTGACTCTCTCTGTTGTTATATCTCAACGAAATATGCTGTTCGTCAACCTTCAAAAGTTATGCTGGACAACATCACATGTGAATAATTGTGTAATCACTATAACGGTAGTGTTACCTACAGTCCAAAACAGAAAAAGGCGATTTCCTATGGATAATTATGTTGAGAATGAGGCTTAAAAATCTACTTCATATGGAAATGGAGCAACACACTATATCACTTTCTAGTTGCACCTGGTACTTTGTATTAATCCATATATTATTTTTCCCTTTAAAATACTGAAGCTCAGGCATACTATTCGTTTGAGATAAGAGTACATCAGTTCTTCTATTATCACGATGTCGTACTGCGAACTGTAAAAAGGTGTGACGACAGTAAGATGTTTCCTTCAGACAACCAGCATAACGGCGATGCTGCCTTTTCACAAAAAACGGTAGGGTTAGAAAAAGTTAACCCTAAAAATGCATACCTCGCCTTATCCCACAGATTCCCATCTCTGGCTGTAACATCCCAACAAATACGAAGCTAACACGAAAACTACTCATAAAAAGGTCATGTATGACAGGCCTCAAGCAGTCCTGTTTTTGATTGATGAAATATTATTCTTGCATTGTTCCGTTGTACTATTTAAACTTGGATTAATTTTAATTTGGTTATTTATTCTCTGAAGAGGTGACTTACACTAAGTCACGAAACGTCAGAAAATCTAATTTTCTACTCATTTGGATATTACAAATATATTATTTTTATTTATAACAATCAGCCCAATGCTCAATTTATTCGAAATTATCAAATCAAACCTTGGTAATGATACCTACAAGGCCTCAAGCAGTTGTGCCTTGAGCACTGCGGTCACGCTCCTAGGTCACTAAGACCACCTCTAGTCCAATTTCTTTCTCAGGTTCCTCCAGAAGAACCCTTTCACGGTATGGGCATCTGGGAAGTGATAACCGCCCTCATAACTCTAACAGCACTCAAGATAACTGTATTCACAATCAATCTCCCTTTTCAATTTCTATTATTCCGCCTACCCCAACTTTCAACTCTAAACTTCTTCTTTTGACTTCCTCCTCAAATGTCACCATGAACAACGATTCTAGAACGCAAAAAACTGTCCCAGGTCTACTGAATCCTCACTCCAAACTGCACATTGGAATCTTCAAAGTATGCACACTATGTCAAATCGGTCAGCAGGCCTCCTTCGTTAAAACCTCAGAATCTCGTACTATTGATGTACGCTATGTCTCCGAAACACGCATACAGGATCCTAGTGTGGTCATTTACTTGACCTCACCTCGGCAAAACGGAGAGCCGACGAGATACACTCTCCGTGTATCGGGTGACGCGATGACCAGTTCTCGTGGACTGGCAGGAGTAGGGATAGCACTAAGCATGAGGACGGAACAAGCACTGTTAGAGTGGATCCCCGTTAACAGTCGTTTGTGTGCTGTTCGGCTAAACGGCTCCGCAAGAACTCGAAAGGATAGGGACACACGTCGTTTCATTTTTCTCATTTCTGCCTATGTCCCCCATTGACTGCAGCTCAGATGAATTGAAATATGAATTTTACAGAAAGTTATCTGAACTTCTTCAGAAAGCTAATCGTTCAGACATAGTACTCGTAGCAGACGACTTTAATGCTCAGATAGGTAGCTTAAACCAAACAGAAAGGCATTTAGATGAGTATTCTAGTATTCCGGCTCAAAGAACAGATAACGGTGATCGTCTGATGCAAATGTGCTCAAACAATCGTTTATTTTTAGCAAGCACAAATTTTAAGCATGAGGAGAGACATCGTCTAACATGGTGACCCCCTGCACCAAACCAACGATGGACCCAAATAGACCATATTGCCATCAGTCATCGTTGGGGAGGCTTAATAGAAGATTGTCGCTCATTCTGGAGTACCTGCTTGAACTCTGACCATGCACTAATAGGGGCACGTATCTGTTTGCACCTCACTGGACCCAAAAATGTCACACTAACAAGACCCATTAGAACTGAATTGAGTAACGAGAAATCCAAAAGTAGGTTCCAGGAACAACGGAGGTCACGATTAGGTATTTCTGAAAACGAGGCTGATCCAGATGTTGTTTGGAAAGATATACAAGCAGCAGTGGAAACAGCAGTGATATCTATTAGTGATTTGAACCAAAGCGTTACAAAAAACCAATGAATTTCTATTAAATCTGTTACACTGATGGACTCTCGTAAACTCATCCCATCAGGCTCTGAACACGATGAAGAGAGTAAGCAAATCAGATCTATGTTAAGCAAAAGTCTGAGGAATGACCGTGAGAAGTGGTGGGCGACGAAAGCAAACGAGATGGAAAGGCAGCGGCTATAGGGAACACAAGACAGCTCTACAGACTAATAAAAGAAACTGGAACTAATAAGTCAAGTGTAAGTGAGATTATTTCGGAAAAAGACGATACTCTCATCTGCTCCCAGTCCAGACGTTTGGAACGATAGGTGGCGCATTTCAGAGGACAGCTCAGCTGGCCTTCAGCTACTCTATAACTACCCTCAATTCCCAAACAGTGTGAATGGAACATTAGAGTAGGTCCCCCAACTCTAGCTGAAGTTCGAAAGGTTATAGTTAATCTAAAACGAGGTGGTATTTAAGGATGGTGGTCCAATTTTAGTGATTAGGTTGATTAATATTTTATCTAAAATATGAGAGTGGGGTGTAATCCCATCTAACTGGTCGTAATCACTGATTGTTGCAATGCATAAGAAGGGGTCAAAATCATCATGTAACAACCATAGAGGGATTAGTTTAACTAATATAGTATCTAAAATACTAGCCTCGATAATTGTCGGACGCCTAACTAAGACTCGTAAACTGCAAACACGAGAGAATCAAGCTGGCTTCAGACCTGGTCGTGGCTGCATCGACCGCATATTCACCATTCGTCAGGTTCTAGAACATAGACATACTTACCGGAGTCCGACAATGGTGTTCTTTCTTGACTTTAAGGCACCATTTGACTCCGTAGACCGCAAGATTCTGGGGCAGGGCTTGTCATTGAAAGGCGTACCTCAGAAGTACATAAACCTTGTGAAGACTCTTTACTCGAACACTACCAATCGAGTCAGAGCTTATGGCGAACTGTCATCTGCTTTTACAACCTCAAGTGGTGTCCGTCAAAACTGTCCACTATCTCCATTTTCGTTCAACTTCATCATAGCCGTACTGATAGAAAAAACGCTCTCGTCGACTGAATTCTCGGGTATTGACCTCTTTCCAGGAGGGTCCACTTATCGACTTAGAATACGCAGGCGACAGTCTCGTTTGGTGAAGACGCTGATAAAATGCAGAATCTTTTGGTAGCACTAACCGGAAATGACAGGATGTTTGGGACGCGTTTCGCATCCTCTAATTGCAAGTTGTTACTTTAATACTGACCTGCGTCAGCAACTGAACTAAGGATAGTGAATTAAGTAGTTGAATGCGTCGACAACACCAATATTGAAAGTTTGAGCAGCCCTAATAGGTTGGTGTCTGACGAAATCTCAACACGGATTTGAAAAGCTCGTTTGGCTTTCACCAACTTACGTCACTTATGGCGAAGGCGAGATATCCGTCTATCAATAAAGGGACGAGTATACTGCTCGGTAGTTCGTTCTGTTTTAATTTATGGTTGCGAAACATAGCCATTAAGAGTAGAAGATACTCGTAAGCTACTAATATTTGACCACAGATGTCTTAGAAATATTGCTCGCATCTTCTGGGATCACTGGGTAAGTAATAATGAGGCTAGACGCAGAGTATTAGGGAATGATGGTAAATCAGTTGATGAGGTTGTTAATCTTCATCGACTGAGATGGTTGGGCCACGTGTTACGTATGCCCGAACACCGATTACCACGTCGTGCAATGCTAACGGGTGTTAGAGATGGTTGGAAGAGAATTAGGGGCGGCCAAACCAAAACGTGGCATCAATCCACAAAGTCACTAACTTCTAGTCTGATCCATGTTGGTAGATGCAGACTAATTAGTTGGGGTCCGTGTTACTATCGTAATCAATGATTGGAGACTCTGGATGACATGGCTCACAATCGATCACAATGGCGTATGTGTAAACACTCTCTGTCTTCCCTTAAAATATGAGATTAAAATCACTTCATATCTTTCTTTCTATATACTAATTCTTTCTTCTTGTACTATATCCTTATATGCAATCTTTCTTTTATATATTACCACCATTGACCTAAGTAATCGTATGAATCCGGTGTTCATCTTGTTGTGCTAATGCGGTATGTCAACTTGAACCGATGCATATATGTGCATAGTCGTACGTTGTATCTGAGTGACTGACTGAGTTTCAATTATTAGTATTATTATTATTAACGGCTCATGATCTCAACTATTAGATTACTATAATATCTACAAAACCCCTTCTGATACTAATCAAAAAACGCTCACTAGTGACTGCCTTCAAAAGGTATTTCCTGGAGTTCTAGTGAGAAGCAGAGACCAGTGGAGTTCAACTGGATCTGTTGCGAGATAGTAACTCACTGAAGACATTGGTGGGTGTGCTTCTCGACTTTGTGGATTAGTTGAAGTTAGACATTGATTCCATTGGATGCTGGCCGGCTCAGTGGTTTATAGGTTAGGCGTTCGCGCATGAGACCGATAGGTCCTGGGTTCGAATCTCACGAGGAGGGATAGTGGATGCGCACTTCTGAAGAGTCCCACAATGGGACGAAAAGGTCGTTCAGTGTTTCCAGGTTTTCCATGATGGTCTAGCTTCAATTGACTCATGATGTCAACTATTGAAATTGCAAATTAGATTGAGAGAGTTTATTTCAAATATTTTTTCCACACAGAGAAAAGGTAAGAAACGCATCATGGCTAAAGACTTCTCAGCCTACTTAGAATCATTACTTGTTACAAGCATTAGTATAACTCAAGAAAAGTAATGCGTACTACAACAAAGAAACAGATGCTGAATAAAGTAATATGTGTATAGATAGACACAAACATACATGTATAATCGTAAAATTACAGGAAAATAGATATGTTATATGTTCTGAAGGTAACAATTTCGTATTAAAAAATAAAGTTCTTAACAAATTAACAGTGACTTGACAGTCACTTGCTGTTTGAGTCTTTCCAAAAACAAACATGAATCATGTATGCATGTAACAATGCTAGCTGCAACATAAGCTGAGATTACTATATAAGTCATCGAATACTATATAGCTGGTTTGTCTTCAGAATGAGTTCCAAAGAACTCACTAAACCATTGATCTACATTCATTCATAGTTGACATATGTACATCCATAGTCACGGAGTGAATATGAACTCTGGGATGTGGTGAGTACATTCAACTGATTAGTCTGAAATGAGACTAAACGAGTGTCATCGATTCCACTGCTTACGTAGAAGATATAGTTCGTGAAGAAGAGATAAATTCGTAGAATTAGATGTACAAAATAATGTTGTCTCAGTCAGTAAGTCAGTTACAAGCAAAATAGGACCTGGTAGAATTTGGTGCATCGGTTAGGATTGTCACACTATATATATATATATATATATTAGGTGCTTGTTATTATCCAGTATTCTAATAATATTAGAACATGAAATCAATAGGGAATTAAAACATGAATGCATTTAAACAATTACTACAGATTTTCAGTCACTTCGCCTAGTCTCCAACTAGGTAGTCTTAACATGTTTTTCCTCAGTTTCCGATCTTCAAGGAGTCTACGGTATTCATGACGTGACGCACATTATGAACTTTTATATCAGCATGGATTCATACTATATTCGAAAGGCCCTCAGACGATACATTATCATACTGTCTTACGTCAATCAGTGAAGAAAATCAAATAATTTATAAAAATCTGATGTCTAATAAAGAAACGTTGTGATTGCCAAAATATAATTCAAATCTGTTATAGCCCAAAGCCGCCAATCAGAAGCAGTGAATTATCGATCGGACCAAGGACGCGTAAAACAAGTACGAGCAGACTAGAGTCCTAATTAGTCCTGCTTTTCGCCTAGCCCAACCAGTTAAGTCCAGAACACCAATCTCAGCCTCTGCAATATGAATCGTTTATTTCAAACATACTGAGTTTATATACCAACCAGATAGACCACATCGTACCATAAAATAGGAAACAACATTTGTACAAGATTTGGCCAAATGTTGCTGTGAATGTGGGAGGTAGTGATTAATAGACAGGGAATAATTCAATAATGGAAAATCGTATGCTAACAGTTCATAGGTTAAAATAAAGCTTATGATAAGAGAGACATGAATATGAATAGTTTAGATAATTAACTATTATACGACAAAAATATACGCAGATTATAGGTCCATAAATAGATCCCAAAGAATTACCACTCATTATCCTTATCGGGACACGACAAAATCATTACAAAATAATCTTAGGAGATTTTTGTGCAGTTTCTAAGTGCTTACATTCCTTCATTGTAAATAACATTCAATATTATTTATGCTGAATACATTGTAGTTACGTGACAACATAATCCAAATCAAATAAACCCATATAACCAATATAAGTGAAAATACTTTAAAAAAGAGTAGGGATGTCTGATGAATGCGAACAAATAAGGAAGCTCAGAATACGAAAACTATTGTCATGGACTTGTTCACTAATTCTGTGTTTATTAAATACTTGATTCACGTTGTATATTGCTCTTACTGTAAACTTATATTTTACTCACTAATTGTTGACACATATTTCAATTTTACGAAATTAACTTGAGTTATTTCTGTAGTTATTCCTCAGCATTTTTTATTAAATACCATCCAGTATCCTACAAACAGTGATTTATTTTATTTTTGACGCGGTTCGGGTCATGAGTTGATTCAGATATTCTATTAACATTTTGGGCAAGGATGAGAGTAATATAGGGAAAAATTTATTTTGACAATTCGTCTTGTGATTGGTTAACTGGGATGTAAGGATCTGTGTAGACCAATAGGATTTAAGATATTCGTTCAAAGCTCTCGGTCGTTGTATAATTGGACAAAGAGAATGGTCACTGGTATGAGAGGTACAAACCAAACTGGTCCGGTGAACTCTATAGTCTAATGCTTTAAATTTGTAGGCAAAGATGAATGATCGAATTTGTCACATTTACCGTTTATAATCTCAATAAATATACATACAAACATATTTGTGGATATTATAAATCAAAATCACAATCATGCTTCATCGACCTACTCTCATGCCTGCATCAATGAAATCATCCTCAAAATTCAACTTATCTACTAATTCAAAACATTCATCTCAATCAAGTAAAATAGAAAGTCCAGAATTGATTCAACTACTTAACTGTGGTGATGATGATGATGAAATAGTTATTGTAGAACCTACAGATCCAGATGAAGACCGTATGAAACAGGAAGATACAACATTTGATGATGTATTAAACAAAGAACAAGAAGATTATGCGGAGGAAGATTACAATGGGAATGATGGAGATATGAATTCGGATGACTCTCATATGAAAAGTGAATCTCACATCCCAGTGTCGAATATTAAAGTGGATGAAGCCACTGGAAATGCAACTCCAGTGACCGTAACCACAGATTCGGTTAAACCTATTGGAATTTTACCTCTGAATGATGTGATTCACAATTTACTCACATGTACACCACATGTTGCTCCCACCATACAAAATGTTGCACTTCAACCTATACTGTCGGGTAAAATGAACGGATCGGGAAGTGTGCAAATGCCGAATGTTGTTTCCAATACATTGCCTACATTGTGGCTTCATTCTCCTGTTGTGAATTCAACGGAAATGATGAGTATGCCTAATGTGAATAGTGTGACAGATTTGGCGAGTAATATTGTACAGAATAGTGGGACTGCACTGAATCCACTTGTTGCTGCTGTGCTTGTGAATTGTGCCACAGTGAACATGATAAGTCAGCTAGCTGGATCTATGTGTACTCCGATGGTGAACAGCAGTATGATCGATGGTAATGTTAATGGTAGTAATGTGAACAACAATAGTGAGTACACTAGTAGTGCTTGTAGTGTTAGTGGTGGTAACAACGGAGTCAACACAGTAACAATCCCTACAGCGTCATTATTTCCCAATTTGTTATCTGCTATTCCGTTGTCTACGTATATTTCGGGATTAGGACTGAATACAACTGGAGGTATAATTACTTCACCAAATAGTTTGTGTAATGTTGGTGTTACTAGTACAGCTGTTTCGTCTGCTGCAACTCTCAATACGAACAGTAATAACAATAATAATATTGGTGGTATGATTGTGAGACCATCGAATGTTGAGAATATTATGTTTTCATTGTCATCTGGTAGAAATCAAGCTAAAAGTGATAACTTATTATATAATATTGGGAAATTCGATGTAAATGATTCAGTGGGGAATGTTCTTAAAACAAATACCATTAATAGATTAACACCTACAGATACTGAATCATCTGTGGTAGTTCCCTTTCCCACAGTTTCGTCCAGTATTAATTCTACTAAAGAATTAAGGAAGTATCACTGTACATATCCAGAATGTAACAAATCTTACACGAGACGATATCGATTAAACCTACATATATCAACACATACTGATACTGGTCCGATATCATGTGATACACCTAATTGCAACGTGAAATGTTTTTCAGAAGAGGATTTAAAAAGACATAAATTATCTCAACATTCATCAGTTGATAAGGATTCGCGTCGTCGACATGCTTGTACATTTCCCAGATGCAGTAGATCCTATTCAGAGTTGAATAGACTCGAAGAACATTTAAGAACTCATAGTGGTGAAAGACCCTACGTTTGTAGAAAACCTGGTTGTGGTGCTACTTTCGCACGATTATCCGGAGTTAAATCTCATGAATTAACTCATGTATATGTCTGTAAAAGTTCTAAACGACTGGCACAATATCCTATCACTATGGTTGGTAACATATTCGGAACAAGTTTTGATACTTCTGAACCAATATTGAATAATCAGGGTAGCTCTGAAATAACTAATATTTCACCACATGTGTTACCTAAATCAACAGAATCAATTGAAATTACAAGTGAAATATCAATAGCACCGAGTATTCATAAAAATCGTACTCTTCCACTTATTGCACCGAAATCAAGTGCACCTCTTCTTAAACCGTCTATTCCCACAGTAAGTTGGGATTCCGGAATGAAGTTAACTCATGTTTGTCCATTTAAAGAATGCGGTAAAGCATTCCTGAAAAGAAATAAACTTCGTGATCATATATATCGACATACGGGTGTACGACCTTTTGTTTGTGATCAATGTAATGCATCATTCGTTCAAAGGTATGAATTACGATGTCACACTTATGTCCACCTTCGTGGTGCACGGCCTAGTAACTAATAATTAATTATATTTTCTTACTAATATCATCCATCCAATTAACATCTAATTAAACACTCATATGCTCAGTGATTTTAGTTATAATTATTGGTACTATCGTTAACAAAATCCATGTTACCTTGTAATCTCATTGACCAGTTTTTGTCTGAACTTTATAGTTAGTGAATAAATCGATATCTGGTTTAATATTCTACCTATGTATTGTATATATTGTATAAATTGAACTGCTTTTAGAAGTTACTATCATTGGGTTATGTACATTATATATGTAGAAAGGAAAGATTTTGTAACAATATCTGTTCTATTGAGTTGCTTTATTCATTCCATTACACATGTGGGTATCATACGATGTCAGGTTGTTTTTTGATCGCTTATGGAATACTTCACATTGTGACGATTTCTGAGGTTTACTTTATTAGGTTATGTAGTACTTGATTAACTATGAAAATCGTATTTATCACAAATTCATTTCATTCACTTTCTATCTGCTTGAAATTTTAAACTATTGTTAATGGAATGTCTGTAAACTGAATGACACGTCGAATGCAAACTGTAGTAGAATATGAACTAAGATATTTCAATAGATTTTATCATACACAAATTAGCAACACATAGTTTTTACATATAGACAAGTGAGGTAATCAGACATCATCTAGTCAAACAGTAAGTTTCTCTATTGTTACATCCATCTGGGTAGATCACACTAGTCGGTTTGTGAGTTGCATATCAAATTTTATTCATAACAAATTGAGCTAGGAAATTCTACCGAAGTCCAGAGGAATAACGAGTAAATCATTGTGCATTCTTTCATTCATAGCTTGAAGATAACTGCAGGTTATGTGATACTTTACTGTCCTGTCCCTCTATCATCGTTCTCCCCCTCTCTCGTTTTCTATTGGAAAATATGTGTATGTGTGTGAGTGAGAGAAGCAGCTAATAATAACGCACAAACACGATAGAATGAAGAAATCGATTTTGTCTAGCTGTGGTAATCAAAGACCCAACAGGTCCGTTTAGAGGGAAGAGAAAGACAAATTTAGTGCGAAACATGAGGACGATAGACAGGAAAAATACATCATACTGATGTGTTTACGTGATTGGAAGGTTGTAAACAGTGACTACATGTGCTAAAAACCAATGTTAGATTTTTCTGAAGAAATGAATGGGGTTTCCACATTCATCATCTGTTCAACACGAAACTTGCCTCTAAAATGGAATAAGAATATCTAATGTTCCTGTTCCTGATCTGGACATCAATGGACTCTGTTGAGGGGTGCTATACTAGGACGAAACATCTGTCCAGTGCTTCCTGGTTTTCACAGGTTAGCTTACCAAGATTAATGTTGGATATATTTTATGAAATGCTTCCTCGTAGTCCGGGACATGGATGTATATCGACCAGTTTCATTAATCTGACTGCTGAAAAATGATCCGTAACATTGCGATTTGGTCGGTGCATGATCAATTCATACGAAAATGAACCTACTGTTCTCAAAGTTCGATATCTAGTTAAACTTTCATTCTTTACAGTTACTTTTATATCTGACTTCAGTGCTTCAATTGGTATGCTGTCTGGTCTTACTGCCTTGCCAATCTCGACTTGTCTGGTGCCTCGCTGATTTCTTCGATTTTTGGTGGAGTACCAGCTATGAGACGGTCTGTGTATGCCGCCTCGATGTTCGATGAATTCAGTGGGACTGGTCTATTCATGAGTTATTCAGAGTGCTCTACTTACCTGTTACGCTGTTACTATATCTCGCTTTTTACTATGAGACGTTATAATTCTTCTAAATTTTGATCCTTTAACTTCCAGAACAAATTTTAAATGATTTAAGTAATTTTTCTGGCTAGGATATTTTAAGAAATTTTCTTCTCTACGAAATGGGTTTTCTAACCCCATGCCTAACTTTCCTTTATTCGGCTGATGATCGACAATAACACTGTTCAGTCTCCAGTATGAGTTATTGATTTTATTAAGCAACTGAAATCCGGTTCAGTACAGTTGAATGCTTGGTATAATCCATACAATGGAATACGAGTCATACTGAACCTGAAGAAGCACGGTAGCAAATCTGCCAATCTTCATAATTGTTGACATTATACCAGTTAGTCTATATTAGTTCTTGCATGAAGAATATCTTTTCTCATCTAACTTCTTTATAAACGTGTTGATAACTAGATGTGTTACTATTTATTTCGTTAAGAAATTTCCATGATTGACGACTCGATGATTAATATGGAATCGTAATACGATCTTATTCATTAGTATTGTGAAGACATTTTAATGATGGGGTCAGAAATAACCACTCCCATAATGAGTCAAGATATACATTTTTTCATACACTGAGTGTTAATAATAGATCCTTGTTCTATGATAATTACTGTGAAGAGATTTAAACTCGTCAATCTCTACTCATTGGGTCTTTTGCCGGCTCGGATATAATAGAATCTCTTTGTACAGGTAATATAAATTATATTAGATGTTTGATTATTTAAATTCTTTCCAGACATAAGGCACATTGCACTTTTAGAGAAAATAATGTACACATCGCTTTATTTTAAACCAAGTGGTAATGTCATAACAATCGACCAACCACATTCATTTATATACTACTCCTAAATTCTGGCACAAACGGGCAGCAAGAAAATTATGATATTGTAATACTGTGATAATAATAATTGATGGACATTGGGTGCAAAGAGAAGAAAATAATAAGTATACAGTACATGTATTTAATAGAAAATTCAATTCAGTTAAAAGTGTAGCCAATAAAAGACTCATTTTACTTAATTGAAATCCTCTCATTTTGATGAAGAATGAAAGCATAAACTAATTCAGGGTCTTCATCTGTTTCTATTCTGTGTCATTCAAATAAAGTCATAAGCAATTGAGTTTCACTTTCTCTAGATCTTTAACCTATTCGTTGTGACAATCCAACAGATCACAGTCTTAAACAACTTTTAGTAAAATTTTACTTTACTTATTGCCTTGAGTGAACCATTCAAAATCAAGACAATGCCCTGTATATTTTTGCGAGAAATTAAAATTGCAGCGCTAGATAACTTGTATATTATGATTAAGTAAGTAAAAATTGTCCATATTGGATCCCTAAAATGCTTGAAATCAATGAAAATATCTACTGTACAAACCAAGCAACGAGTATGACACGGTGCTTAAGCTAGACTATAAGAAATACTTTGTAGTGTCGGTTGATATGTTAAGCCCATATATCTTATTCTAGCTTTCGGACAGGTCAGTCCGTTCATTCTAGTTTAGTAGTATTCTGACCTTGTAAATTATTCGCTTATCAATCTTGACTGTTTTTATATGGGCGCATATATGTGTGTACATTTCTTATCCTATTCATCACATGTATGTAGCCTATTTTTGTGTGACCATAAATATTGATTAATGCTTGACTAAATGGAGTTGACATACCCGCCTTCTCCACTGCGCGCCGTTTCGCTTCTCTTTATTCCATTCGCTTCATATACAAAATATATGTATTCGAAAGTTCATTCTCGTTATTTGACCTATTTAATTCCGTTATTGACTAACGCGATTTAAGTCGACGATTATATACGAGGATAGGTGACATATACATTTCAATAACAATAATTCATACTATCAAATTGGAGTCAGAACTCGGGCCACTAAAGTGGAGAGCCCATCGTTCATCGTCCAATCTAAATGACGACAAAATAAAGGGCCCCACTAAAACTTACTGTCAATGCAGATTTTGTGTGAAAGTACTTTTCGTGATTCAGTCCATACAAGGAATTGTTTATCATAACAAAACTATAGTTTCCTGAATGGGTGGTTAGTCACTCAAGATCATCAGTATAGTATAATTTGTCCAACTTTCTTGAATCTATTGACTACAGAAGTTAAACTGACCACCTCTTCACATTTTCCACTCAGTCCCATAACTGGAAAATAATACACGATCTGTCGAATAACTTGAAACGTAGCTGTAGTATCTTATAAATAAAGTGTTGGAACCGTATATGAAATGCATGTACCTGGAAATTCGTCAAACGACTCTCAATTCATATTTCACACCTAGTCTTAGTACAGGAAGTTTCATCTATTCTCTTAACATATAATGAACTCAATGATGATGGGCTATGAGTTTCTTTCCCACTAAATTTAATTAATCAAATCAATGAAAATACTTTTCTATTTTCAGGTTTCATTTTCGCATTTAACAAAGTTACACAGAATTAACTGAATCTTAAAAACTAGACGTTATCATCTTGAAAAATATCGATGTATGTACTCAAACAATTCAGATGCAACTTAAGAACATTCAATCAATAATTATATTAATGGTTGAGACCATGGGTCAATTGAAGTTAGACCATCATGGAAAACTTGGAAGCACTGGACGGCCGTTTCGTCCTATCGTGAGGCTCCTCAGCAGTGCGTATCCACGATCCCGCCTAGCGAGATTCGAACCCAGGACCTATCAGTCTCCCACAAGAACGCTTGACCTCTAGACCACTGAGGTAGTAGTTTATGAAGGCAATGGTGGGTGTGTCACTCGATTTTGTGGATTAGTTGAAGTTAGACATTAATACCATTGGATGCTGGCCGGCTCAGTGGTTTATAGGTTAAGCGTTCGCACGTGAGACCGATAGGTCCTGTGTTCAAATCTCACGAGGTGGGATCATGGATGCGCACTGCTAAGGAGTTCCATACTAGGATGAAAAGCCATCGATTACTTCCAGGTTTTCCATGGTTGTCTAGCTTCAACTGACTTATGATCTCAACAATTAAAATTACCATAATATCCATAAAGTCCCTTCTGATACCAATAATTATTTGTTTGTTTTAACTATACGACAGTACTGTATTTTATGAATTCCATTAGGATCATCTACTTTTAAATCGAAATAATGTCATTTAGTTCATACTCTTAAACGATTTTAAACAGATTTTTGATCGTGAATATATTTTTTTTGTTGAATGAATTCTAGTGTATTTAACACTTATTTGATCAGTGACTATTTATTGTTTTGTATAACATAAAGTTTATGTGAATAGTTTACAATATGTTAGATATTGTACTAAGTAAATTATGCGTGGAATTAAATTGAAGAATGTGGTACATTAGTGTAATATGCATGGTGCTTGCTCTGCTGCGGGTTTGGACGATTTTACCGTTGTCTGTTTTTCAATATACCCTAAAAACGCTGGTTTTGCTCTGTCGATGCTAATAGTATCTTGTTTACCCGCTCTTTCCACTATAACCGTTTTACTGTCCTTTCGAACGATTTTTTCAAAGGTTGATCTCGTCCGTGCT